TGGTGGTCCAAGGGCTTGCTGTGGTTTTTCCTGTGGCCCCCTGAATAATTGTTCTTCTACTGGATAGTGGTCCCAGAGGCGGAGTAAGGACTGACTGGGCTGCCCCGGTGTCCTAAGAAGCTGACAGGTGTGCTCCCAATCTTTAAAGTGACCCTGGGCTCCTGGGGGCTTAATAAATAAGAGCCCTGGCCCCGTCAATCCTGGTTTTCTAAACTGAGAATGGCCCTCGGTGGCTTTCCTTGTGCTGTTTCTCGCCTTCTCCCCTCTGGGAACTCCCTCCTCCATGACCTTGTCAGCAGTACGCACAGTGGTTGTGTCCTAGCCTGGGCCAGGGATCCCAGGGGCTCCCCTGTGAGGTTCCCTCTTCCCATGGCATAACTCAGGTTTCCCGAAGAGCTGCTATTACTGCTTTAGTAATTCTTTTATCCTGTATAGCTTCTGAAGTGTTTCTGTTGTTAAAGACCTTCTGGGCAATTTCCAGCAATTGGGTTAAATTCATTCCCTGGAATCCCTCTAACCTCTGTAACTTTTTTTTGATGATAACTGGGGCTGACTGGGAAACTAAAGCCAGATTGATGGCCCGCTGATTTTCTGGAGCCTCAGGGTCAATAGGAGTGTAGGTGCCATAGCGTCTTATGGATGCTCAAGGAAGGCAGCTGGCAACTCTTGCGGACCCTGAGTTACAGTTCCCACCTTGGAGAGGTTAGTGGGCTTGCGGGCTGCTCCCCTAACCCCTTCTAGTAGGTACCGGTGAAAATTGTTTACACCGAGGTGTTTGGGTCCCATTGGGGTCGGGTGGAAGGGAAAATCTTATTAATTTGTTCCTGGCGGTCCTCTGCCAAGCCTCCCCCTGTTCCAATGATGGCCTTATGGGCCTCCTGTCTAATTCTGCTCCTCTCTTTTGTAGTAAACAGTACTGGCAGTAATTGTTGACAGTTATCCCAGGTGGGGCCGTGAGTTTGTAAAACGGACTCCAGGAGCCCTGTGAGTGCCTGGGGCTTTTCAGAAAATGGAGGGTGTTGAGCCTTTCAGTTGTATAAATCACTAGAGAAGGGGATGTGGACAAAGAATGGGTGGCCCCGGCTACTGCTTTCCACTGGGGGCACCTCCCGAAGGGGTAATACCCTGGGCAGGTGTGGAGCCCCACTATGGGTGTGGAGTGGGGCCAAGGGCTGGCTACTGGTGTTGTCTGGAGAGGGGAGCTGGGACCCCTGTCCAGAGGGTAAGGGTTGGCTGCCAGTACCGTCTGGAGAGGGGTGCCGGGAACCCTGTCCAGAGGATTTAAAGTAAGGTGGAGGTAACTCTTAATCCTCTGCGGAGGCAGGGAGAACAGCCGGTACTGTAGGGACCTTTTTTGGGCCGGCTGACGTAACCTGAAGTCCAGCCTGTTTTATGCAGCATTTCAGCCACAGAGGGGGTCGTTGGACTAAATCCAACCATTGGTCAATGTATGGAAACTGATCAGGGTGTCCAGGCATTCCCGTGACCATTTTCCATACCACCTGGGTAATTTTTGGGTTGTAGGTCCCAGTGTCAGGCCACCCAACTCCAAAAGATGGCCATTCTAGTTCACATAAAAAGCAGAGTTTTTCAGGGGTTAATTTCACCCCATATTGGCCTGAAAACCCAACCTTGAAGTTGGCCATCATACGTTGGAGGGGGGGTGCAAGGCCAGGAGCTAGACGACCCCGTTTGGGGTTTTTGTTTTTTTTNTTTTTTTTTTTTTTTTTTTTTTTTTTTTTTTTTTGAGGGCCTGGAAATGGTTTAACTATGATTTTTAGATAGAAAAGTTCTGCTGTAGAGAAAGCCAATTCTAAGCCAGACAACTTATACTAAACACAAAGTCCTATAGCTTTCAGCTTCTGAATTTTTCCAAGAGGCTTATTTTAAGACTGGCTCCACTGAGGATTAGAACCAGCAACCTTGCAGTTGTAGGCTTTATCCCTTTTCTACTATGCTAACAGGCTACTTGCAGAAAGGGCAAACAGAAATCTTTCTTAAGTTGTATTTTGGATGCAAATCTTGCAACCTGAGGTGGTGCGGCCTGCCTGAAAGCCAGGCAGGACTGGCAGCCGGCAGAGGAAAGGAAGAAAAATGCTCTTCCTGTCAGTTTAAAACTAAGCTCACAGCCGCTGCCTGGCTGCGAGTTTCTTGCCCCTGCTGCTTTTGGTCGCCTTGATACAGGGACCCTAAAAGACATTAAATTCCTCTTTCCCTCCTTTCTCTCTGTTTCTCCCTCTTTTTACTTTCTCTCTCTCTCTCCGTCTTTTGTATGAGTCAGGGAAACAGGTGGAAGCAGCCAAGAGTGAGGATAGGATTCCCCTAGGAAGCCCCAGAGGGGCCAGTAATAGGCCTTGTATAGGTTTAGTACCACTTGGGCGTGGTCTTCTCTTAAATGACACCTGGCGTCTAGTGGCCTTGGGAAAGCTGGAAAATGGCAAAACAAATGAATTAGGAGGTCCACAGGGTGTGAATTTTGTATCCACCACAGCGTAGAGTTGGCAAGAGATTTGCCAGTCTGTTCTTATTAAGCCATGACACCCCACCTCCCAGCAGTGAGGGTGGTACTAAAAAACTAAATAAGGTGGGCTTCAGAGGACTGGCCGTAACACTAAATATTCTTTTGACAGAACAATTATTTTGTTTCCACCCCAACCGGCTAAGAAGAGTTGGCACGTTTCTGTCTAGGAGTTGATTTCCCCGGACAGAGAAAAAACGACACTCAATTTGTAGCAGGCAGAATTTTCCTTTGGACATTAGAAAAGGGAAGGAGTGTCCTGAAAAGATTGGGGGGAGGAGTAGGTAGCTGATGAGGGAAAAGGAAATTATACCCAACACAGGCAGAAATACTCCTGTCCTGGAGGGGGTGGCTGAGAGAACCTACAGGCCACAATATTATAATAAGAAAGAAAACAAAAAGATAGGGCTAAAGCTATTTGCCACATGGCAGAGTCAGAGGAAGTGAGGCTTCAGTAGTAGTAGAAGAACAGGAGAAGGAAGGAGAACAGAGTTACTTCTAGGGGCATGAATTCAGTAAAGGTCCCCTGCAGCCAGTGGTCCATTACCCACTGTAGAATATTTTTCACTTCAAGGGAAGCAGGCCTAAACCACTGTATATCAGCCAACAGGAGTCTAACAAAACTGGTAAATTTACAGTAAGGACAGAACCACATACAGGATTGACAAAGGATGGGTGCCCCCCAGATGGGAGACCAGTCTGATGCCTGCCCGGCCATGTCCCAGGAGGGATATTTCAGGACGTCTTGGCTAAGGTGTACCCATATAAACCCCAGGCCTGGTCACCTCAGAATTTTTAGTTCTGAGATGAATCACCGTTATGCCTTATGACGCTCCCATGGAACCGCGGGTGAAGGCCCTCACAAGCCCCATAGCCTACTGGCCATGGGACTACATATATACCCACTCACTCTCTCTCACTCACACAGAGGTTATGGAAAACAACTGAAAACTAATACCACAGCCTCCACACAGTGAGAGGTTACGGAAATACCAGAGCCTCGGGTGATATCTCTGGGAGGCTTGCCTGGTCAGAGTTCCAGTGACCGCATCCGGTCCCCTGACTCAGGCTACAGATACAGATGGACCGGTCCTCAGATTTCAGACCCAGAACAGACTTACCTCTGGAGGTTTCCAGGACCCTGAAGGAATTTGGGGTGAATGTCGGCTGAGCAGTCGCTTGTCCGTCACGGGGCCAAACTCTGGAGCCCTGGAACATCAGTAGGGGGCGCCTCCCCCAGAGACCCCCAAGGCAGGAGTGGCTGCCCAGGTGAAGTTCTAAGGGCTTTTGTCTAGGTGATGGAGGAATATAAATAAAATCTCGCTGGAGCCTCCAAAATGTAATATCAGATTGAGTATAAAAAATTAACACCAAGACAAAAGTATGCCAAATTGTAGGGTCTTTATTGCTGGCAGCCACGGAGGACTCACATCTCTCCAACCCGTGGCCCCAAGCTTGGGGAAAGCAGGGTTTTTAAACTGAAAAACCACATCCTGGTTTTAGGACCAAGAGGGTGAGAGGATGCAGGACAAGCAACTTTACAGAAGCTTATTCTGGCAGTTACTGATAAGCAAAGGCAAGCAGCTTTACCAAGTGGGCATTTTTCAGAGCAAGCTAGCTGTTTTTATTTACAGAAGCCAAGGTCAGCAGTTACTGCAAGGAGAATGGGGCAGCAGTTACAACTTATTTTTGGAAAAACAGGTTCATCTTGTATAAAATGGCGTTGCTTAGGTTCTAACTCTAGGCCAGCTACAGCACACCTCAAATCCAGTTTCTATTACTGTCCCTAACTGTGGAGAATTTTAGCTGACCCAGTGACCTGGCTCCTGTGGGTACAAGATGGCTAGATATATCATTGAGCATATACACCAGGCAGCAGCGGTAGCTTCTCTTTGTCTGTGAACACCTGCCCTGCTGCTAGCCCCTACTCACAGATGTGAGGCTCACTGTTCACAGGGGAGCATTTTGGAACCAGCTGGGATGAAAAAGAGTTTTCTATGGATAGCTCTTGTAGTCAGGTGCACAGTAGCGGGCTCCTGTCATCACTCCACGAGGTCACTGTAGACATGGACCATTCCAGAGAATCTTTTGTAATCAGTCTTTAGCCGTCTCCTAGTCCTTCCCAGTTGAGCATGGGTGGCAGCAGATGGCCCAGCCCAGGGAAAGTCCACCTGACCATTAGACTCATCCTAGAGCCACCAAAGCAAGGCTGCAGAGGAAGAGCTGCTTGTCACCAACATTAACCAGCACAGGGCTGGGCGACTTCAATGACAAATTTGGAAGCAGCAGGGCAAGAGAGCCAAGGCCCCTGGTTATCCCCCTTGGCCCCTGGAGGGGGTGCACTGGAAGGTCAGAGCCTTGACACCACAGAGCCAAACAACACACACCTCCTTGGGCCTAGACCCCAGCACAGTGGCCCTCCAGTGCTGGCAGGTGGCCCCACCCATAGCAGGGGAGGCGTGGGTCCTCCAAAGACCTTCCTGCCCCTGGCCAGATGATTTTCACAACTACCTAACCTTGGTGTTTACTTCTAGGTCTTTTGGCCAAATGCGTTTTCTTCTAAGAGTTGTTGGCAAAATACTGTTACAAGTTTCTTATGGGACCTTTGTTCTACTGTGGCCTGGTTAAAGGCTTTGTCCTTCTCTTTAATCCTCTTCAGTGGTTTTGCTGTCATTTCTCTTGATGCCGTATTTTCAGGTCCCTCATGGGAGGGGGCATAAGGTCTCCATCATCACGCCCCCTCTGCAGCTGTCCAGCCGGCAGTGAGTGGGCCCACACATGTGCATTCCTGTGCTTGAATTGCCAAACAGTGTCCCTTTCATTGCTGCTCAAACAGACTGGTGGCCTGCTCCTGCCAGCACCTGGGGAGAGAGTGTGTGCTTCCCAAGAGCCTGCCCCCTTGGTCCATGCAAATGTTCTCCATGGCAGACGTCCATGGAGGTCTCCCAGGCCCTACTGGCTGTCCAGCTCTTTGCACACATTCTTCCCGCTTGCAGGAATGAAATCCAAACACCTGATATGGAATGATGACTTGGCAGCAGGGAGTGGGGCAGCTTGTCTCCACTAACTTAGGACCAAAACTAGGAAGTTTACCATGCGCATGTGTTGGAGATCAGCCGTGGCCTCGAGCCCCAGTACACACAGAGGCAAGCCTCACCTCTTGACAGAGCCAGTCACCATTCAGCTGCGGCCTGTCTTCCCTGGGCGCCCAGGTGGGAAACTCTGGGCTATTAGTCCTACAAGTACAGGCACCGTTAGGTGCGAGGAGCACGCTTACCTGGGTCCACAGAAAGACTAAGCTCCTTAGTGACTCCATTCGCCATCACCTTTGAGAATTTTGCCTTGTTTTAACTAAGGATTGTTGAAGTTAATTATAACAAGGACCATCCCCACTCTGTATTTGCCTTGTTCCTTTCAACAAGCATTTGGCCTAATGAAGTCAGTGAATATTCCATTCTTGTTTTTTTTGATCTTTTGATGACATATGTTGCTTTATTTCTCCCATTTCTTTAATTACTGTGGGCAAAGGAAAATATTAAGGCAAAAATAGGTCACAAGTCACGTTACTCTGACCCAGCTGTGCAGAACCCCTTTGTACCTGCAGCTGTTCATTCCAAGTCAATGCAACTTTCCCTTTTCAATCTGGTCCATTCTTGGAGAACAAACCCATTGTAAGAGCTGTCGTCAGTGGTTGGGATATTACTTTGTAAAGTATTAAAGCACTAAACCAATTTTTGCAATATGTAGTAAATCATGCTTTCATTTTGGAAAATTTCCAGTAATGACTACTGCATTTTTTATAGAAGAATTGTATTTAATTTCTTTCTTTTATGAAAGATTATTTCAGTAAAAATAGCTCTGTAATCTGTGTGACACAGCCTCTCCATTAACTGACACAGAGAGACGCTTTGATGCCTACTCAATAAAATTAACATGTTTATAAAGTATTGGTTGGTCCAATTATTTGCCCACTGACTCCTGTGTTCTTGGTAAAATAGCATCTAAGAAAAGCTTTACTGCCAAGAGGAAGAAGACTATATCAGCATCCATCCATACCAGTTTTGTTTAAGTGTTTTCCCAGCCAAATGAGATGTAAATTCAGTTATCCAGTTTCTTTTTTTCAAGCTCTCTGTTACCCAGGCATCAGCATGATCTTGGCTTACTGCAACATCCGCCTCCCAGGTTCAAGCAGTTCTGCCTCAGCCTCATGAGTAGGTGGGATTACAGGTGCACACCATGCCCAGCTAATTTTTTTTTCGGTATTTTTAGAGAGAGAGTTCACCATGTTGGCCAGGTTTGTTTCAAACTCCTGACCTCAAGTGATCCACCCTCCTTGGCCTCTCAAACTGCTAGGATTATGGGCACAAGCCACCATCCCAGCCAAGTTTCATTCATATAAGAGGAAAATCTCTCTCCTTTCTAAAATGACCAAGACACTTTCTATCTAGATGAAAGCTGTATTTAGTTCATTGTCACACTGCTGATAGACCTGAGACTGGATAATTTCTAAAGAAAAAGAGATTTAATGGACTCACGGTTCCGCGTGGCTGGGAAGGCCTCACATTCATGGCAGAAGATGAAAGGCATGTCTTACATGGTGGCAGGCAAGAGAGAATGAGAGCCAAGCAAAAGGGGAAACCCGTTATAAAACTCTCAGATCTCGTGAGACTTACTACCAAGAGAACAGTATGGGGAAACTGCCTCCATGATTCAATTCTCTCCCACCAGGTCCCTCCCACAACACATGAGTATAATAGGAGCTACAATTCAAGATGAGATTTGGGTGGGGGAACAGCCAAACCATATCAAAAGCTGAATAGGGTTGTCCTTAACATGTCTTCACCAGAGGTTGCAACTGTAAGCAAGAGGATGGCTGCTGGGAGCATAGGGGAGGAAGAAGAGGAAGAGGAGGAGGATTTTGCTGTGAATTTTTATCTGTGAGTGCTCTTTTATGGAGGAGAGGCACTGCCTCTGTAAAAGAAAGGTGCCCCCTCAGGAGGCTGTGGGTGGGGTCCAGGGCCACAGGCCTGCTTAAGCAGGTGTGGTGTACCCAGGACTCAGTCCCAACCCATTGTGTGCCATGCACTGGGACAGCGATGGAGGTGGTGATGACAGTGCCTCATGCCCTCATGCACTGCATAGGCATCATGGGGGGTGGCACATTTTGTGCATAGTGGGAGATAGCAAAATCTCTGGGTGGTAGACAAGAAAAGTAAGGTTTGACGAGGTAAATCATTAAGCCAGGATTCCAGCTCAGGTGTGTCTGACGTGAGGGTCTGTGCTCCCAGCATCAGAGCACATGGTCATCCCAAGGAATGGGCAAGGCCCCTGCCCAGGAGGAGCTCACAGTCAGGGAAGGTGACATACAAGTCCATCTGGCTCCAGGTGGGGGGTAAGTTAGCACAGATGGGAGAAGAAGAAAGATGCCTGGCGGGGCTGTGGGATTGGCTGGAACAATGGCCACTACATACCCAAAGAATCCCGTTAAGGCCAATGGAACCATCCGTTTCTGGCTCCAATGTTTTTCTACACAAGGAAATAGGAAACTGTTCTAAGTTTGTGCAGGACAGGCAGAGAATCCCCTATGAAAGGCAAAACCCTGCATTTGAAGCTTTAAAAAGTGCCTAGAAGACTAAATAGGGTGGTGCTGGAGCCCTGGATTGGGAGACAGACAATCTGGCTCCAAAACTGACCTTGAGAAAAGCATGTCACCCTGCCAGCCCCAGGTTTCTGTTCTGTAAAACGACAGACTCAAGAAAAGGCTCTTGAGGTTTCCCCACCAAATCAAGGAATCTGAGTATTATTTAGAATAACAGAAGTCACCCCAGTTAATTTAACAGAGAATGTAATGTGGGCAACTAGTCAAGCAGGTATGGCAAGCCTAAAAAACACCAAAAGGAGACACACAGTTCCGCAGAGAGAGAACCTACAGGAAGCAGCTCCCTCATAGGGTCAGGGGCAAAGCAAAGAGGGCGCGTTGTTAAAATCCACAGGCAGAGAGGGCAGGGCTCCACAGCGTTGAGCTCAGACCTTTGAAAAAGGAGCTCTTCCCAGCTGGTGCCTGTGCCTCAGGAGGCCAGAGGGGGAGGCTCATGGTGCTAGACTCAGATCTCCAGGGAGGGTTGCTGGTGTCTCAGTAGGGGGTGTGATTTAGCCCCTTCTCCAAGGTGGGGGGAAAAACAAAATTGAAACAAACTGCAGCTAGCAAGTGAAGAGCTGTTGCCAAGACAACACTGAGAGAAACTAGAAGCAAAAGGAAAGAGCAAGTCCATGTGTGTCCTGACCCACCTACACACATGCATGTATACACACACATGCATGTATGTACATACACATGTGTGTATACATGCACACTGAGCAAGAAGGAAGACAGGAAAATATGCTTCCCTGCTGCAGGCCCCGGTTGCTGGAACCGAAGCTGGCCAGCACTGCTGATGTTCGAAACTCCCGTTTTCCATAGCCACTCCAAGTTGGCTTTGCTCTCAGGCAGATCTCAACTTTTTGGGATTCTTTACCTGATGGATGATCCAAACTTTCATTCCTGTAGATTCTGAGCCCTCACAAGTCCTTTCGTTAGATGCCATCATCTACCATTGACTTATTTTTGGATAACTAAAGGCACCCCAGAGAGTCCTCTACATTTCAGACATCATTTCTTGGCCCCCATTATGTAGGAACAACTCGATTTTTCCTTGATAACACTTTCAGTCACTCAGCCAGTAGAGTGACCTTCTTTGCATTGATTCAGTAGCTCAGAAGCCCACAATGGCCAGGTCTCAGCTCTGGGTTCAACGAAATCACTGCACTGCCTGTTGGGAAGCTCTCCTCCCTAGGGAAGCAAGAACTACAAAGCAGAGAAGTGCTAAGGTGTGGGGCAGGGGAGGTAAGATTCTTGGTTACAAGGCTTCGTAGTGACAAGTGCTACTCACACGCCCACCTCATTTCCCAGACCGTGTGTTCCGGCCATAGGACCACCATATGGCAGACCATATGGCAGTTGCTGATTCAAATCCCAAACTCCATCTGTAAGGTAGAACTCCGACCTTTCAGGGAGCTGTCTCCCTGCTGGCATTCTAACGGAGCCTTCGGTAGGCAGGACCATGGCTCTATCAGGCCAGCTGCTTCTGGGTCATTGGGATGTGGAGTAAGTGGGGTCATTGTGCATGATCTCACTGCTGTACAATTGAAATTTTTCATCAGAAACAACACTGTGTAGAATACCACGGCGATGAATAAGGCATTCTTTAAGTCCATGATAGTGGCTTTTGACAGCAGCATTGCAGACAGGGAAAGCAAATCTGAATTCAGGGCACACCTATTCCAGTGAGGGAAAATTGTTTTTCCTTATGAAGGGGTCCAGCTAGCCAACAGGAATCTGCCCAGCCCTCCCGGGAATGCACTGTAGAGGAGGCTGTCAGAAGGTCACTCCAGCAGAGCAGTGGTGGCCTCCAGGCTGACCTTGGCAAGAGGAAATTCATGTCATTTGTGCCCATTCACAGCCTCCATCCCTGCAATCATGGCCCTAGGCACACTGAATAAACATCAGGATGGCCGGTGGGAGGGTCATCACAGAGCATCACAGAGCATGCCCTCTTGTCCACCTGAGTCTCAAAGCCTCTTCTGTACAGGGAGCTCCTGGTGAGCATAAACATGCCACCCAAATATCTTGTCTCTTTACACCACCTTCTGAGCGATCCATCCACATACCTCTCCCCACCTTCCTATACGTGCATCTGTCACTGACCATGCTTCCTTTTCACCAATCTTGGAATCCTGTTCTTTCCAAGTCCCCGAACATCTAGTCAAACTATTTTTCCCCTGCTCATGAATCAGTGTAAGGCATGGTTTCTCAACAGTGGCACTGCTGACATTTGGGGCCACATCATTCTTTTCTGTTGGGGACAGTCCTGTGTGCAGGATGTTTAGCAGCATCCCTAGCTGACTGTGATGGTTAGTTGTATGTGTCGACTTGGCTGGGTTAAGGGATGCTCCATCCACTGGGACAATTTCCCTTCCCCGCCATCTTCCAAGGACACTCCAGAGCTCCCAGGGCCCACCTCAGCTGGTACTCACATATCCCAGAGAACCACCTGAAGGCAGGTCTCGGCCATCTGGTCACAGGAGTTTGTATGAGCCACAGACATAGATTGAGAGAGGAGTCAATCAGGAGTGCATGTTACAGGGGTCTCAGCCACCTGCTGACACACTGACCCGTGCCTGCTGGATTTTCTCCAGCCGATCCCCTCATACCACATCTTAATTTGATGACAGATTGCAGCTTCATGTGCAATCACACATGCAGGTGGGGTGGGAGCTCCCCGGCTGCAGCTACGGCCCTCCCAGGTGCAGGACCGGGAATCTCTGCAGCCTGCACCCTCGGTCCCCACCCGCCACCCCCGATGTCTGCTTCCACTGCCTAGCCCTTCTCTTCTCCTGCTCCAATCTCGAAGCTGGGTTGAGGCCAGGCCGTGGGGCCATGAATGGCAGCAGAGGGCCTGGGGAGAAGTAGGGGAGGT